GGAATGCCCTGTGTCTTTAAAATTAATCCAAATTGCTGTAAGAGTGGTTTTTTGAGGAAAAGAAAAGGTAAAGATTTTATTCTCTGATGTTATATTTCAATTATGTGATTAATTTTTGTGCAGAAAACAGACAGAATTGGGATCCAGGCACTTCAGGAAGGCGTAAAAAAATAGGCCTTCAGCTGTATACATTGAAGAGCAGCAAGAACCATACCAACTGCATGTGTCTGCCCCTGATGACTCACTGCAGCTGATGCAACAGCAGAATAACAGGCTGTGCGCGCCTGTTCAGCTTTCTAATTCTAGCGATAAGCCATTAACTCAGAAAGGGCACTTTTGTGCTCAGGATCTCCACAGATGATTTTTCTCTACCAGAGAGATGATACGCCGACAGCCTTAGGTTTATGAAATATATTTCCATCCCTACAGTAGATGTCATCTTCACATTGATTGCATCTGCTGCCTGGCAAAAGACTGCTTTCTATTTACCCTGGACATTTTTTTCTAAGGATTGATGAACATCAGGGTTTTCATTCCTGGCACACTGCCCAGGAAAGGTGGGCAAAGAGGTCTGGTGTCTATATTGGTGGCATCCAAAGACAACTTCTCTGGACTGATATACACATTCTCCTTAATGTACTACTGCATGCATGTGACATGCTAAGACTCCCATATAGCAGTTAGCTTCTATGCTGACTGGCTGAAGTCACTACCACCCCATGTTATGTTTCTCAACACTAATCTCTAAGAGATCCTCTAGCCTAACCCATTCCCTGCCCAAACTTGCCCCTACTTGCTATTCCTTGCATGCTGTCTGGGGCTTCACAGCACACTGTGGACACACATACTGCGCAAAATATCCCGATGTCCTGTCTCATGCTACGCGGTGAAATAGAACCAGTCTTGCTGCCGCAAAGGGATGTGGAGCAGCAGCAGTCCTTGCTCTAGAAGTAGTAGTTTAGAAGGAAAATGTCACAAGCAACCATCTTACCAAAGACGTACTAATCAAAGCTGCTTAGCAATGATCACGTTCCATGGTAGGATTACTACTGATACCAACCCTGCCGCAGTGCTAATGGCTCAGGGGTTTTCAGCCAAGAAACACCAAAAAGAAGTACGATTTGTATTAAAAATATTATGCTCAAATGCAAGGAGCACCTAATCTGCAGTTTCACAGGTGGACTGACACGTATGGAATTATTAACGAAGACAAGTGAGAGTGTGTGAAATACAAATCTAACAGCTCGCCTGCCAGACATAATGGGATGACAAGCACTACTGGCATCTGAGAACAGAAAAGACATCAGAGCTTCCCCATCCCCTTCTGGGCTGGGTGGAATTAGTTCACATCCCCAGAGATCCTCCATTATGTTTGTTCATTTGTGTCCTATTCCCACAGTTTTTCTGCAGGCATAAGTCCCATTGAAACCCTCACTCTTTAGCAGTTGCAATCTTCAGGGGCCTTGTAACAGCTGAAAAATAAATTCCATTAGGCAGCAAAGTTAAATATCAAATCCTTTACAGTTATTTTTTCAACTACCTATTTTTTCCTTCAAGCAGCAGCATATTTTTAAAAAATGGTGTCTGAATGAACCAGGTCTGTTCAGAGGTTCGCTGAAGCATGACCTTTCTCAGTATGCTTATTCACCAATAAATCCTGGAGTTACTATAGTAACTGTGTGACATCACAACTGCTTTTGCTCAATATTGGTCCAGATATTCTCTTTGTCTTTCTTCCCTTTCCCTCTCTTTCGCCCTCCTTTTGAAAAATGGCTGCCAGAAATATAGCAAGTATGTGAAAGTGCAGCTAACTTTCTCCCATGGCTGATGAGAAAGATTTCTACGTCAATGCCTGAAACCTATTTTTAAGTACAGAAAGGCTCAGACCAACCTCTAAACACTCTCAAACTTTGAAAAAGCTCAGACCCAGATTCTAATCTAAATTGTGTCTGGCCTCCTATTTTTACCCCCAGATGAACCAAACGCCCAGTTATAAATACACTGGAATCTGCTTCACCCCCAATGGGGTGGGTAAAATCCATTACTGTACAGAGAAATAGATTAAACCTATAGTCTTGATGCTGCAGGCACAAAGGTTAAATAGCTCTACTGAAATCAATGGAAGTACTTAAATATTATCATTAGGGGAATAAGTAAGCATTTGCAGGATTAGAACCAACATCAATTACCTTGGTAAAACAGTTTAGAATATATTCATATATTTGAAAAATGTTATGTAAACTATGAGCCCAGCTGTCAACTACTGGTGGGGAGTGTGATGAAGTGGAGGAAAGAGAAGAAGAATTGTACCTGCACAGCCAGCAGGGAGTGGTGAAACAACAGTGAGAAACGGTGCTGAGTAAGAAGAGAGACACTGGGGAAACCCCCAACGCCATCGTGGTGACACTTCATAAGCGTGTGCCACTGCTGCTTGACAGGGAGGAATTCTATGCCCGGGTTAAAAGCAGCCCGGTCCATGGGAATGGACGGGCCGGAAGTGAGGTCTGGAAGCCCCAGGAGGGGCGAATGGCGGAGAGCTGCCTATTGGCAGCAGGCCCACTAAGACAGCTCAGAGGAGCTGAGCAACTTACTGGCAGGATTGTCCTGGCAGTTGCGAGCAGACGACTGGAACCTAAGCAGGGACGCTGAACCTGAAAGAGAAGATAGAGACGTTAGTTGAGAGGAGCTGTGAATACAGTGGGTCATGAATTGCTCACAGTGGACCATTCTGAGCATGGATGCTAAGGTCAGAAGGGTCTCACAGGACAAGGACCATGTGGTCCAACTCCAGGCTGAAAGACTGTAAGAGTGGACTAAGAGCCAGAGTAATCTTTGAGTTGTGTATGGTTTTGTTTTATGCATTATCTACCTTGGAAGGCAATACAAGACAGTAGAGTCTCTATACCCTTGACCATCTATTTTAGACCTCAGAGGTTGATGTAAGGTGGGGAGCCCCAGAAGACGGCACCAGGGCTGGATTAAGGACAATATGCACAAGGATGAAGAGCTTCCTCCCAATTTATACTCATGGCAGGCAAGAGTGGTTGGCCTTACTTTAGTTCCAGTTGCAAGCCGTCTGCCCACAGGGGAACTGAGACTGAAAGAGATCAAGTGGAAGAGTTGAGGTGCACCTCATGAGATAGACACAGGTGCTTCCACAAGGAGCTCCTCCTGTGAGATGTCCTGTAGACTCCCATGGAATAACATGCATAAAGACTGCCAAAAGCACTGCTGAAAGCTGTTTCAGGTTTGATTTTTATACATTGTTTTCTGGTTATTTACAGAGTGTTGCCTCTAAGGGCTGCCCTCTGACAGTAGCTTACAGGAGAGGACCTCAGAAAGCTTCACAAAGGTGGATAAATAGCATTCCTCTAAATGAGGAAGCTAATATGCAGGGCGGACAAGTGATCTGCCCACAATATCACACTGCAGCTGTGCCAGAGCCAGGATTAGAAACCAGATCTCCCAATTCCCCAGCCTCAGTTCTAACTACTAAATCCAAATGCTTTTCCTTCCACATGTTAAGACCAGACTGAATTCTGTTTGCAATGACTTCCCTCCTCCCAAACAGATGGTTGGTATTTTGCTTTCTAACCATACTATGAAACTGAAAATCTCTTCTTGTCAAGCTCTTAAAAGAAAATTGTCCATACATAGAAAAACTATCAGCAAAGTATGAGATCTAAAGTAGCTGATGTGTTTAATAATGTCTATCAACAACAGAGTCCCAACCTACTAATGGGCTTCCAGTATTTCAACAGAATGAAATTGTATGTTGTAGCCTGATATCTTATCAGAAATAACTGTGCATCTTTTTTGATTTATTCTGTCATTGCCTATTTATTTATTGTTTTCTAACATTTTCTAGTTCCTTTCCCTCTTTAAAAGACAAACATTATCTACAAACCCTTCTGGAACTATGCAAGTGTAAAAGAAATGTTGCCTTACTGTTATGGAATCACAATGCCTGGTGCCATCCTGGAGCTGTCAAAGCAAAATCCATTTTCCTTTTTGAGAGGACTCAAACTGGTGGATTTTCATAGCTTTTCCAACTGATGGATGGATGTGTCAAGCCAAAACTGTGTGCAATCATGCTTTGTTCAGGACGTGATAATCACCAGGAAAAAGAACAGACATTACACTTTCTAAAGTTCAGTGCTGAAAACTACTGT